TTTTTTTTTTTTTTTTTTTTTTTTTTTTTTTTTTTTTTTTTTTTTTTTTTTTTTTTTTTTTTTTTTATTTTTTTTTTATTTATTTATTTTTATTTTTATTTTTATTTTTATTTTTATTTTTTTTTTTTATTTTTTTTTTATTTTTTATTTTTTTTATTTTTTATTTTTTATTTTTTTTATTTTTATTTTTTATTTATTTATTTTTTTATTTATTTTTTATTTATTTATTTATTTATTTATTTATTTTTTATTTTTTTATTTTATTTTATTTTTTTTTTAATATTAAGATGAGGTCACGTCTCTGGTTTTTTATTAATATATAGCTTCGATGACCAGTTACATATACATATACATTAACTTTACGAACTACAGAGACTTAGACTAATTTATCTATGACCTAAACCTACTAGAATGGTCTATGCCTTACACATGTATTATCTAGATTTGTGCTTCCCAACTAACTATTTCTAGTGACTGCATATTTCTCCCATATCTTACATAACTAGTCATAACTTCCAAGTTGGTATATTGAGTATTCGCTCCTAATAAGCTTCCAAATTGGTATATCTGCAAACACGATCTACTGCAAATTTTCTAACAAATTATATTAGTATAACCGTAATTGATGCAGATAACCTTTCTATAGCCTCATATCTCAAGCCAGGAACTTGCTATCTAGTTAGGTTCACCACATGACAGAGTTGGTATTATATTGCTGGATCAAGAACCCTCACACTTATCTGCCTAGATACTACTAACCCATATCTCAAGCCAAGCTCTGCTGCTGCCGCTGGTTTGCCACCCAGGACTTAATGTTCTTTTTCTGATATAGTGCTACTAGCTAATCCATCTGTATTTTCTCATATGGTATATTACCAGAACTATATTTCGTAGGGCCCGAGTAAGACCTACTTCTAACCATAGTTCTTGCGTTATATTACTAGAAGACAGTGCCCCAATTCACCTTAACTTCTAACTTGATCTTCTCATTGATTGGTGTTGCATTATCATTAGTATATTCTGGCTTCTTTCATTATAGACTTCTATATAGGTATGACTAGAGCTCCGACTTGATGCATTTAGACGTACTAAATTAGCTAGCTTGCCTCTATGAAATTACCTTCGTTAGCTAGTTGTTTCATAGTACCAGAGGTGCTTCCAATTCAGGTAAGGCCAATCCTTTACCACAGCCCTTTCACATGTCCACCACTTTTCTCGATACTCCAGTTTTAGTAGTGTTGTATCACCCTCCCAAGCAAGTACCCAATACCAATCCAAATTAGAACTGATATGCATGATTCATTGATCATTTTTCCAAGCAAGTACTCACAAGTTGGGTGTGAGGATGTTGGTACTGTCTAAAGCGAAGGTGAAGGGATATTAGTATTGCCTTCAGGTCACCCCAACCAGAGAACTTACATGTGTGATCTTCTATAACCTAGACCTTCTGTAGAAGATACACGTATCGGTACCGCTCTACGATCAGAGCTTCTTCTGAGAATTCCTATTTCAGAACTTGTACTTGCACTTGGATTTTCCACAGAGCTCCGTATCCGAAATAGCGCTTCTGCCATTTGGCTTACAGAGAATTAAAAATTGCTGATTTTATGCCTCTAGGTAGATTCAAACCGTCGACCTTGACTATGGAGGTTTGGGAGCTTAACCAATAAACTATGGGGCCCAAACCAGATTAGAATTTTTATATATGTTATCAATTTGATAAAAATGAACAAAAAGTTTGTATGCTTCCTGAAGAAGATGAAATAGATCAAAATATATTTGATACAGCAAATTTTGTATTAATTATAGTGGTTGATTATATGCAAGGATTTTTTAAAACTAGAAGAAAACATACCAAAATACCACCACCAGATCCACAAAATCAACAACAAGATCCTAGATATCTTACAGATGTGCTAAGTTATTATTTAGGGAAAAAATTTTCACTTTCAGCAGGACAAAGTGGTTTATCAGTATATATTAGTGATGGAGAAATTAAAATAGTATATAAATATAATGCTGATATTGAAAATATATTAGATTTAGCACAAATAATTGTGCAACAATTACAACAAGATCAAAATGGTAATAGAAAAAACCCAATAGAAGAAGATGAACCAGAAGATGCAGAAATTTAATTTAAATTTTTTAAT